CCCCTTATCACCTGAATCTCCTCCTAGAGCACCATTGTGTTCTTTTTAGCCAAATATCTAAAGTAACAGACAGAGAATCAGCACTTTTGAAACAAGGCTGAAACAGAGGGGATTATGGGTAATGCTGCAATGATCTGTTTGGTGTTTGGAGCCAAACACTTCAGAGACACGTTTTGTATATATCTGAGACCTATAATATATTAATAAAAAACAGTATAATAGGGGACCTTTTTAAAAAAAAAAAAAGAAGTATATGGAATTAGCCATCTGTTTGAAGGTTTGCCAATGACTTTTACGTTTTGTTTTTGACAGAACAAAAGATGAAGGCGGGCGGGGGAGAGACAGGAAGGATGCGGGTCGCGGTCGGGGTCCGAGAGACAGAGGCAGGGGCCGAGGTCGCCCAGAAGTCATCCAGTCCCACTCGATCTTTGAGCAGGGGCCTGCAGAGATGACGATGAGAAAGAAAAGTAGGAGCTCAGCTGCACTGCCCCTCACTTTGTACTACTTTTCCTTTACCAATGTACATAGTCTTTAAAACCCATGTTTATGATGTCTGGCTTTCCTGTATCTCACACGCAGGTGGCTATGAAAATGAGAGAGAGGCTCCCACCGTTGGACCTTCACCCATCATCAATATTAAAAAAGAGAAGAGAGAGACAGAAGAAGAGACAAAAGAGATTCTGGCCAAGTTGGAGAGAGATACAGTAAGTCCCTGGTTGCCCTAATCTTTATTAAGTAGCTTTTATTTAACATTTTACTTCAATTTTTCCTTTTCGAATGCATTTTTCAGTTTATAGACGACCCCTTCCTGAGGAGTGAGCAGAGGAGCTGCCCTGTCCAGCTTCCCCTCGCTGTTTCTGGATGGGGATTCACGGAGGAATTTACTAAATCTCCCGTTAAAATTGAGAAGGTGGAGGACGATGATGATGAACCCATGGAACATGCAGTTGAAGGTAAACAAGATACACTTCAAAATGATTGTATCTATGTCACAGTTTCCATGGTTTGTGAAAACAGGAAATACAAAACAAGCTTGTTGTCCACATAGCTGCTCTCTCACATGACGCTTTATCTCCTCTTCAGTGAAACAGGAGCCGGCGGAAACCGAAATAAAGAAATCGGAATCAATGTTCAGGCCCCCTCCTCTCCCTGAACCGGAGTTTCTTCCCGACCTGCTTCATAAATGGAGTTTGGGAAAAGGAGAGGAGCTGTTCTTCATCCAGATGCCCGACACGCTGCCCGGCCAGCCGCCGACCATGGAGCACAGACCGGTGAAAACAGAGGTGCAGTCGGAGGACGGGCAGTCTGTGCTTCTGAAAACAGAGTCTCAGGTACAGGTAGTTGTCGTCTACGTGTTGAATACATGATGGGTGTGGAGAACATGTGTTCAGATGGTATTTCTTTATGTTGAACAGGAGGAGGAAGCTGAAGAAAATAACTGTAATCTGAAAGACCTGCGGGAGGGTCTCGTGGGAAAGATGCTGGTGAGGAAGTCCGGCCGGGTCCAGCTCATTCTGGGACATGTGACTCTGGATGTGTCGCTAGGAACATCCTGCTCTTTCCTTCAGGTATGATATTAGTATTCAAAATGTTACATAAATACAATTCAAAAAGTATAACAATGCATTGATAGTACAAAAAGCAACATCACTCTTCCTGCACAACGGCCCATGCATTATTATGTTTAATGTTGTGCCTGGAAAAAATATTTCCCAACTGCAATAGCTACTTTTTTTTACTATAAATACTGGGGATGTTGTGAATTTCCCTTGGGGATCAATACACTTTCATTGTAATCAACAAATATACATGCTAAATGATTTGTTAATTATATTTTCTACTATTAATCTGAATCTGTTGAGTATCTCAAACTGTCAGGTGGAGTAAAATGTACAATATTATTTATATATTCTATAAAGTAGCAAGAAATGGAAATATTTAAGTACAGTGCTTGTGCTTGAGTAAACTTACTTAGTCACTGTCTACCACCGGTATTGGTGTCTCTTTCTGTCTCTTTCTGTTATTTATAAAGCACAGCCCTGTTTGTATTCCAGTGTCTTTACACACCACTGTTTTATTATTTTATCATAGGGTAAAGGTTTATTCTGACACTCCTTTCTCTTCTGTTTTTCCCCTCAGGAGCTGGTCTCTATTCACTCAGAGGGAAGAACGGGTGACCTGACTATATTAGGGAATGTCAAACACAAAATGGTTTGTTCCCCAGACTTTGAGTCTCTGCTGGAGAGCCGTGCTTGATGCACGTCACTGAGCCCTCTGGATGCACTTGTGGTGGGTTGTGATGTTGACAAGACGTTCACGTTTGATCCTTTGGAAACTGACATCAAATACAAGCAGTGTGGTCATTTATTGCGCTTCTGTGTTTTCAGACTGGCTAACATAATATTTAAATACACTATATATATGAAACGTATGAAGTTTTTGTGATAAAGGCTTATAAATGCAAGGTCAAAGGTTTAATGGTCTGCCAAATGTCAGCACTGTTTTCATTTCTTTATATCTGAGAATACTTGAGAAGACTGTACATGGATGTAAATGTGTGAATAAAAAAAGTATTTGTTAATCCAGTATGTTTGTGTGAAATTGCTATAAATTCACCCACGTTTTCCACTTTCGTCTAGTGACCATGCAGATGTATTTTTGGTTTAATTACTTAGGTTTGAGATGGAGAAATAGACAACTGCTGAGAACAAGAAAAATCTAAATTGAACAAATACAGGTAAAGAATATTGAGGACTATTAATATAGGTAAATATAGGTGTATATAAAAAGCAGTCTTGCACGTCTTTTTACAAGTCAAGTTTTCAGGATTTTGTTTATTTGTAAACTGAAAATAGCAGAAATAAATAATTCATTGCACAAAAGCTTTCAACAATGTTAGCTGTGTTTTCAACTTATGTGTTTTCATTTAAATGCATCTGCTGAAAGATGTTGTTTAAACCTATGGCTACCAAAAAAATAATGCAAAGATTTGATTAATAAATCGACTGTATGGGCTGATAATGATGTGTCTATAAACTGTATATCAGAAACAGCTTTATTACCAGGTAGGTTGACGAGGAATTTTACTTGGTGTCGTGGTGCATACATAAAAGTAAAACAAAAATGTAAAAACACAGAGCAAACTATTTTAAGAACACTATCATAAAAAATAAATAAGAAAACATAGTAAAATAAAGCAGTATTCACATTACATATGCATAAACTGTATTTATGCAGTCCATTGCGCAATCTTTTAACAATATTTGCAGCGTTTTGACTTACAAATGTATTTTTTGTTTCATGTGAAGCTCAGTAAATTACTATCCGCAAATGTACATCATCAAAACATAGCTCTCCAGCGCCACTAGTGGCCATTCGTTGTATAAACATAATTATGAATGTGAGCGCAGTAGCGTGTTGTGTCCAGCAGGGGTCGCATCAGAGCAGGGGTTGCTCGGCAGAGGGATGGTGCTAAACGCGTAACGGCTCTGAGCCGCCCGTTGTCTACCCATGTTGTTCTCCGGGCGGAGTTTGGCTTCAGTCCTTAAGACAAAGACCAGTTTGAGTTACTGACCGGTGGACGCTCACTGTACGGATACAATACATGACGAAGGGTAAGTTAACTACTCACTCTACTAAAGTATATGCTTGTAAACTGTTGGTAGGGATAGTAACCTGTAACGTACCTAAGTTACGCTCATAACAAAAAGGTTGGCTCAGCATTTCATGCGGACCAAGCTAGCTTTACGGAGCACGCCAGGAGACAACATGGAGCACAACCTTTAGCTTGGAGGCTACCAGCTAATTGAATCATCCGTGGGAGTACATAGCATTTGATTATGAAGACCCACCACTAGATAAGGTTGTGTGAATTACATGTGTGGGGGCTTTTAGTGATCCTAGAAAGCGTTAACCGTTAACTGTTGGTAGCGTGAATGTATAAAGAGAGAGCGTTGGAGGCGGGACCCCGTTCGTTCGTTTGAGAGTGGCTCAGTGGGGCATGATGCTCAAAAGTACCCGTATGTGGGCCCATAGAGCATGCGCATTTGAGTTTTCCTTAAGCCCCGCCTCCCACCTTCATCTCTCGGCTCAGTTAAATGAATGGAGAGAGAAAATAACTCTGAATTCAGGTTTTAGCGCATTTTACAAATGTAAGACCCTCTTGATTTAAACAAGGTCTATACAGCAGTTATTTAGCTACATACAAAAATGACGTCACTTGAAGTTGTAGTACCACAGTTTGGCCACTACGGCCATTCCAAAAATCTGCTTCAACGGGCGGTTCACTTCCTGGGGGCTAGGATGATGCTAGCTAACCCAGTGGATGTTAGCATCACCATAGGAGATAGGGACAGAGGGCCTCTAACGTTATATCTGCATTGTGGCTGATAACAGTAATGTAAGCCGAAAAGCAATAGTGTCCAGTTATCAACAAATTCCCAGGATTAGTGAAAGCGTTTCTTTCCAGATTAGCTGGGGGCTAGCACTAACTGTGGACACCTCATACAGATGGTAGTGATGATTCCTTCTTGCATTATTTTATTACAAGATATGTTGATCTATTGTGAGACGGATCATTCTGACCGTTTGTTTACTTCTTCTCAGGTCTGTTTGCTGCAAAGCCTCAGGATCTGCACCATACAAGGGAACCACCTGCTGTGCCCAGTTGCTTTATTGTTTACATTTCCGTCCCCAGCGGGGAGGCTTTGCTCCAATAGCAAACTACATCTGCAGACAGGACCTGCCCTTATTTAATCCCAGCTGCTCTTGCAAACGTTTGCCTGGAATTTCAAAAGAGTTTCAAAACCAATTGATGGTGAAATAATTATATTCATTGCCCATGAAGGCGACGGCAGGATGGTCACTTGTACTTTTGTTGGTTCTCTCTTCAGTATCAGGAACTCCATCCCGTAGTTATCTTGATGAAGTCCTTTTTCTGACCAAAGATAAAGGTCACTTGGGGCCGGGACGTTTATTGCTACACCTCCTCTGCCCCCTGATATTAACTATTTGATAGACTTCATCTGCCTCCTGACTTCAAGATGGAGCTGTTCTTCAACCCTTTTGACAATTTGGTGTGTATCCTGCTGGGCATCTCCCTCACCGTGTGGTTCACCCTGCTGCTGGTCTTCATCATCGTGCCTGCCATCTTTGGGGTGTCCTTTGGCATCCGGCGTCTTTACATGAAAACTTTATTAAAGCTCTTTGAGGTAAGCGCTTTTTTATCTTAAGGTGTGTTTTCCTGCACACAGTCATAATGGTGCTTTGTCTTCTGCTCCTCCTACACCCTTTAACTCAACAAACAATAGTTTGTCACAGTTGTCGTTTGTTCTTCAGAGACAGGCTCTATTTGCGTTCACTGTACATTTTGTCCAACCTTTTAATCAATATTTAAACAGTTGTGTTTGCTTCTGGGTTTTACACATGTGCTTGTCTGATAAGTTCATCTCAGGACATTGGTCAGAAGCAGACTTTATGCTCGTCTTTGCATCCATTGTATTCAAAAGCTGCTGCAGATTAGCATCACAGAGGCATTCCTCCCTTGTTATATAACCGGAGGAATCAGTCGTACAGACCTTGTCAGTAACTGTTGTCTGTGACACGGCTCCAACAGCCTGGGGTATTGCTTACTGCTATGAGGTTTTCACTTTCGCAAATTGAGGTTGAATCACCAGTGACGGTAGTAATGCATCAGCTTTATTATGCAAATGAGAAGCTCTTATGTCCAGATAATTGTATTTACAAGTTTACGGTTTTGTTGCCATATTGACTTCAGACAGTTATCCAGTTTTCCTGCTTCTGCTATCTCTGGTGTAGTTTCACTAGTAAAGCTGTCATCACGCTCCAACATGTACCACTGAGAGCAGGGCTTTGGCCAGAAATAAATGGTCCAGTGGGAGATGTGAGAGACAATCTTAGCTCATGATTCCTGCTGCAACCATGACATTTAGAGAAAGGGTCAAAGGACAGATTTAGTGCAATATAAGACTGACACACCACTATGTTTTCTGGTTAGTACAATTTGCCAATGTGTCAGTGCTTGCAAAGGTATCTATTTCAGACGAGACATACAATGGCAATTTTGTAACGGGCTGCTAGAAGATAGTTTGTGTCGCTGTTAGCCTATCAGTGTGACAAGTATCACTATTTCCTGCTCACTGAAGTTACTTCATCTAACACTTGTGATATGGATATGTGGATAGAATGTTGTCTTTCACATGCAGCTCTGAAGCCACATTTATTTTGTCACTATTTCCTAACCAGCTCTCTGTGCTCCTCTTCTCTCAAGCCAAATAATCTTTACTGTACTGAAGCATAGACTCAGTATTACATCTAGTCACAACATGATTTAAAGGTAGCTGAACAAAAGGGAAAGGAATGGCCAAGAATGTGAATGCCTTATCTATCGGAGTAATTATTGCCACCTGAGTAATCAATCAAATAACATAACACTGCTTTGGACTAAAAGTCTTTAGGCTTCAAAAAGTCCACTTCTTCTCACACTCTAAATCTCTCTTCTTCTTTTTTTAAGTTGGTAATTATCGTGTACCTCAGACACATTATCCTAGAAAAAACAATTTCAGTTTGCCCAAAGTTGATGCAAAGTAAATAGAAATATGCAAAAATCGTAAAAAAAAAAAAAAGATTGCCTATTTCGCAACATTGCTTTTTCAAGCAGTCTCTCAAAATTCTTTAAATGTTTACAAACTCTTGCTACTTCTAGTGTTTCTGGCAAATATGCCTGCTTACCACGACTGCATTTGAACATACTAGCATTGATGCAGCCTTGTTGAACTGTTGCCCATCAATGTTTGGTGCAGACAGACCTTTGATTTATCATGTGCTGTGGTGTGAACTGTGAAACACATCTCTCACCTCCCAGTCCATACATTCCTGATCTTTCCTGCTTGTCAGGCAGTTAGAACACTGTGTTCTTTTCCTGCCTCTCAGTGGACACTACCGGTTTATTGGTGTACCGATTAAAGAATAAGAAGTGGTAAAGTTACTTTCTAACAGTCACAGATCAGCACGCATAGTGTTGGCCCGGGGTTAGGTCAACTTCTGCAAATATGGAATCTTGTTTCCTCCAGTTTCGCACCCTGATGGTTAATACTGACATCTGCAAATACACAGATAATAGAGAGATAACCATTAGAAACTTGAGCAGGAAGCAGCTGTGTCTGATTCAAAAGAATAATTTGTGTGTTTCAGTTATTTGAATGCTCACATTCAGATATAACAACTGCTTGTTAACAGTGGCAGCTGGTTGCTATAAAACGTGTTGCTTGCTGCCTCGCCTACCTTTTCTAAATGTTTTTATGAGAGCGTGTTGTTGCTGAAACCAAATGCTATATTTCTTGTGTTTTTTACTCACCCTTTTGTTCTTTCTTTATAGTGGGCTACACTTAGGATAGAGAGAGGAGCGAAAGAAAATAATCACCACTTGCACAAACCCTACTCAAATGGTAAGATGTGTTTTCAGTATGCATGTTGAAGAGATTTGTATGTTTTAGAGACTGGGTATGGCTGACATCCTTTCTCTCTCTGGACTGTTTCAGCTATCATTGCCAAGGAGCCCACCTCCTTCGAGGAGGAGATTAAGGAGATCAGGAGGAGCGGCAGCAACAAGGACCTGGACTCAGCCTCTGAGTTTGAGATGTCTGACATCTTCTACTTTGCCCGGAGAGGGGTGGCGAGCATCATGGACGATGAGGTGACGAAGCGGTTCTCTGCTGAGGAGTTGGAGTCCTGGAACCTGCTGACTCGCAGCAACAACAACTTCCACTACATCAGCCTGAGGCTCACCGTGCTGTGGGGGCTGGGCCTGTTGATCCGCTACAGCTTCCTGCTGCCTCTCAGGTAGAGCAGGACCCAAAACATGGAGGCAGTGTTTTTAGAAAAATAGCCCTTACCACACATGTGTTCAAGGAAAAGTGAACACATACAGACACGGCCTGCAATGGATATACAATACAATTAAACATCATTTGATACAAAATGCCATTGTTTGGTATATTTATCAAATGTAACAATATTATTACACTTGCATCAAATACAAACCAACACAGTGAGATTGTGTGACTCTACTAAAATATAAGCCTGGGAGGTATTATCACCATAAAAGCCAGTCCGGCCACAGAGTTAAAGACTGGAGGCAATCCCAGCATGCATTACACCATAAGCTCTGTCAAAGGACCAATACATTTACAAAAGATCAATGGATTTGGGCAGACTGCATGGAGTTTTCAGACAGCTCCAAACACATGTAATTAAGTGTTGGCACACGCAGAGAGTTAAGGAGGGAGATCCTCAGTCAGGGTCAGCTTATCCACTCACAGGGACAGTGACTCAGTCCTAAGCCTGGCTGGCTCACTTCCAGTTGCCAGTGGGGAGACGAATCAGGCCACCGCTGCACAGACAGACACCATTCTAGTCTGCCATCCACTTAATAGATTCTCTCATTCAGTTCTTGTCTAGTTAAATAGCGACCTGGTTTGCTCAGTCACTAGCTTCATGCCTTCATCTCTCTAGTGTTTGTTTAATCCTCGACCAATTTAATCAGGACCATCTCCAACCCTGCATGATCGGTTCATCCAGATTATTGCGACCTGTTTAATCATCTCCTGCAGGGTCACTGACAGTGTGGGACACAGTGTAAATCTTTAAATTGAGTACCCTGCAGCCCTGGATAGCGTTAATCATGACCTTTACATGTCATCTGAGCGGTAACCCAGGAGAAGGTTGTAGCACAGGAGGAACCTTTTTAGGGTTTAGGTTCATGTTCTTGCCTTTTTAACTTTATTAAAATGCTAAGTAGTTTTAAAAATGTTAACCCTAAAAGGGGAATCCTTCCTTTTTGGGTTGCTTGTTGAAGGTTTCCCTGCTGTAAGATTCTGTCTGTCTATCTTTCAGGGTAACTCTTGCCTTCACTGGTGTAGGCCTCCTTGTGTTCCTCACCTGTGTCATCGGGCTGCTTCCCAATGGAAGGTAAGTCAAGCTGGTCTTTTGATCAAATAAATAGATTTTTGGTTTTGAAACACAATGAACATCATGCTGTATCTTATTCTTGCAGGATGAAAAACTTTCTGAGTGAGAAAGTCCATCTGATGTGCTACAGAATATGTGTCAGAGCTCTGACTGCCATCATAACCTACCATGACAGGTAAGAGAACAACAAAACTTTGTTTTTACACCAAGTTTGTTTGACTCATGATGGAACAGTATTTTAACACGGCATACTGCGTGCACTACGTGGCTAAAGGTTTACAGTCAGATAAGATAAGGATGTGAAAAGGGGGAACTGAAGCACATGCGGCAGTTATTCGGTCTTTAATAGGCTCTGAGAGACTGCATGCAAACACATGAAACATTTCGACACCCAAGGTTATTAAATTAGGTCAGATGCAATATGTGCGTTAATTATGTCAACAGAAATAATGAGAGCTGAACAATGATCCGTGAAAGAGTCATAGCAGACTGACCTGTTTCCAAAAACCATAAAATGAAGGTTGGGAAACACACCTGTTTCTTTTTTTAGAAAGGTCATTACTCACTTACAAAATATTTTAAATCCACAAAGTGTAGCATGCAGTTAGGTTTTTCTCTTTATACGGATGTTTGCAACGTTCCTGCAATACCCATTTCTAACTGTTGGATCCTTATCATCCCCACGAGCTGTTTTTGCCACCAGTTAGGTCCCTCTTTACTATTAGGGTCAGCATGTTGGGGGCTGCTGCTAGTGGATAGGCTTAAGGTTTTAACACTGCAGCCCAAGTGTTTACTCTCTAACTTCTCAACTTCCTGGTCGATTTCTCAACTTCTGTTCTATTTTTGTATTCTCTCACTTGACGGCCCAATCAGGTTCTCTGAAATGACTATAGACGTGATATATTATTTTGTTCCTTTTACTTTAAGGTGCTTTAAGCAATTCTAATCCAATACCATTTTGATCCAAACCTGTGAATATCTCCTCATGGTCTGCTAGCTTTCCGCTGAAAGTAACCTTGGTGTTCATACACTGCACTGACTCTTGAAATGGGAAACAAACAAAGCAGAACGAGCCACTCAACAATATTTCAGGGGGGCGTTGAAGATTGTTCACAGGATTATGGGGATAGAAAGTGAAAGGCAAACCTTGATGGGAGGATCTGTGTTGGTCTTAAAGGTGACATGTCATGCTTTTCCGGTTATTACCCGTCCCCTTGTGTGTTATGAAGGTTTTTCTGCATGTAAACGGTCTGCAGAGTTAAAACCCTCAAAGTACACCCTGTAGCGAGTAAAACTCTAAAACAGAAAATACCTCCCCAAAACGTCTCGTTGTTGAAACGTTATCATGACGTCATCGTCGTTTGATTCTTCCGGGTACGTGCTTACGAAAGCACGTACCCGGAACTAAATGGGCCAATCCGTGGAGCCGTTACGTTACATCCGATACGTTAAGCCCCCGCTGATTGGTCCAAATTGACCAATCCACACACACACTCAGTGCAGGCAGCCCTGCTGATTTCTGCTCCGTGCTGCAGGCTGATAACAGACAGTTGGGATTGCGCGAAATTCTCTCTGCAGACCCATTCTCACAGCGTTTATCAACCTATAAACCTTTTTCTTACTCAATATCAAGCAACACTTATTGTTTTTATTTCGGCTGTGACTTTGTGTGTGGTTGAGTTTGGCTGTGTATCGCGAAACAAGGAAATCTGCCCCCCCCCC